CATAGGATTAATTTATACTGTGAACATTTAGTCAATCACAAGGGAGGCAATTACGAAATGGCTGCAGCATAGCATTTGACGATGACCCATGAGATGTGGGGCATTTGACAACAGAAAGTAAATCTGTTGCCAAATTCATTTAGTAAACAATCAGAGGTTTAATATATTTTTAATTTAGTACATAGTGCATTATTAAAATTGAAATTATTCAAAATTCAGTACTTACTGTTATACTTTCCAACGAAATTCCTAATATGTGCAGCATTTCAAAACCTTTTCTGCTTGGGTTGAGACGTTTGACAGCAAAATATTGTAAAGTTAACCATTCAAATGCCAATGGGCACTTATGGGAGGGGGGATGTTATTCATTTAATTGCAAGTAGAAGGAAGAAGATAACTCAGTTATGTTTATCAATGCTGTCTCTTATGTTAATAAAGCCTAAAAAGTTTCGGATTCGTACGTGTCATCGGTTGAACAGAACAATTTCTTGGCGTCATTGGTGGAATAATATATGGTCTACATATTCAGAAAAGCGTTTCAAGAATACGTTTCGAATCTCACATAATATTTTTTCGATCATTCTTGCTAAAATAAGGCATAACTTGGAGAAATCAGCTAGAACAGAAGAGCCAATATCACCAGAATGTAGACTTGCAATTTGCCTGTACAGATTGGCACGTGGTGATTATTATTATACACTTTCAGAGATGTCTGGCCTTGGTATTGCCACCATACAAGGTATAGTTATTGAAGTGTGCAAAGCAATTGTTAGCAATGTATGGGATAGCTCTGTTACTGCTCATTTTCCATCATCACAAGAACATGTGAAAGAAAAAATAATGGACATGGAAGAAATATGGCAATTCCCATGCTGCTGGGCAGCAGTAGATGGTTGTCATATTTCTATAAAATGTCCTGATGGGGGTGCTGAAGCTGCCAAAGAATATCACAACTTCAAGAATTTTTATTCTATAGTTTTAATGGGACTAGTTGATGCCAAATATCGTTTTGTTTGGGCAAGTGTTGGGTTTCCAGGAAACACTCATGATGCCATGATTCTGCAGGCAACCCAGCTTTGGAAAGACATTCATGAAAATAACATTATTCCTTTAATTTCAAAGGAGATTGGTAAAGTGGAAGTTTGTCCTCTTGTTGTGGCAGATTCTGCATTCCCTTTTACATCATGGATCATGAAGCCCTATACATGTGCTGTTCTCACACCAGAGCAAAGATACTTCAATTATCGTTTATCCCGTGCACGAATGGTGACTGAATGTGCTTATGGGCAATTGAAAGGACGGTTTAGAGTTTTGTTTAGGAAATGCGAGTGCAACGAGCAAACAATGAAAACAGTAACATTGGCTTGTATAGTGCTTCACAATACTTGTATTGAATACAATGAACCCTTCCCTCAGCAACTTGATATAGCTACTGATGTAACAACATTGGAACGGCGAGATAGGGAGACTGTTCGGGATCTACTAAACATGCGCACATGCGAAAAAGTTAAAGATACCTCTGTTCAAGCAGGCAAAATACGAGAAGCATTAAAAGAAAAATTGTGGAAAAAAAACAAGGACATGGAGTGTGTTGATAAAATAGATCCATGAACATTTAAAAGTTATTTGCTTTACTACTTATTTGCCTCATGAACATATTTTGGCATTGTACAGTAGGATTAATATTATGTTTGTTGTCTGGATCAAAGAAAAACACACAGTATTTGAGTACAGAAAGCTTGGGAAATGAACCATAACAAGCAAAAGTTCAATAAGTAGTAAAGCCTATTAATTGTGTTCAACCTATAGTACTACTACACCCCTTTCATTCTTTTAAATGCCACTGAGTCAACTTTTACTGTGGAAAAATAAATTGGATTAATAATAATTGGATTTTTTATTCAATTACAGTAAAAATGTGAACAAAAATTTCCAATAATGAACCATAAACAATTGCAGTGGTGAAGGCAAAATGTTGCAAATGATTATTTTGGACTACTGTATGCTACTATATTACATGATATTCTTGGGTTTCATATGACGTCACAAAGGTGATGGGGGCTGGGGGGTAAACTCTAAAACAAAACATAGTTATCAGAGTGAGTCAATTGCTTGTTTTATGTATTAGTCTTGTGTTTGGTGACAAATACATGGAATTTCATTACAGTGAAAGCATCAATACATTTCAGGTTGACCCCCATCAGATCCACGGCATAATGCTGTAGTGAAACCCAAGAATACATAATGGATCATTCCAGAAAAGATCCACACTCCCCCCACGGAGGAAATTTATGCCGTCCGGAGGGGAGGATAAAATGGTTTTTGATAATAGTGAATGTATTAGGACATCCGAATGGGGTAGGGGGGTTAACGTCCAATTTCCTCTGTGGGGGTGGTATGGATGTTTTCTGGAATGTCCCAATTCACAACAAAAATTTTTGTATACATTTACTGTCGTTCCAATTGAAGTGTTGCTCAAATATTGATTCAATACATTACCTCGGGCTGACCAATTCATTTCATCAAGTTCCTCGAGATATTCATACACTTCCTAGTATAATTGTAAACTTCCTGTTGAATAGTTTGAATGCACCAATCACCTTTGTTGTTTGTGCAACTAACCAATCATAAATAGAAAGGAAGTGACCAGAAATGATCAAATACTTGGAATTGCCTCTTTCACAGGAAGTGTATGAATATCTTGAGGAACTTGATCAAATGAATTGGTCAGCCCGAGGTAATGTATTGAATCAATATTTGAGCAACACTTCAATTGGAACGACAGTAAGGTGCACATAGGATTAATTTATACTGTGAACATTTAGTCAATCACAAGGGAGGCAATTACGAAATGGCTGCAGCATAGCATTTGACAATGACCCATGAGATGTGGGGCATTTGACAACAGAAAGTAAATCTGTTGCCAAATTCATTTAGTAAACAATCAGAGGTTTAATATATTTTTAATTTAGTACATAGTGCATTATTAAAATTGAAATGATTCGAAATTCAGTACTTACTGTTATACTTTCCAACGAAATTCCTAATATGTGCAGCATTTCAAAACCTTTTCTGCTTGGGTTGAGACGTTTGACAGCAAAATATTGTAAAGTTAACCATTCAAATGCCAATGGGCACTTATGGGAGGGGGGATGTTCACATCATAACTTAAAAACAATTAACTTGAACAATGAACTCACATGGAACTTAACAAAATGCTGGTTGGTATGACCAACCATGGCTTTTTACTGTGTAATAGGCCACATAACAAGTAAAAGAAACTGAATATCCAATTACTCTACAAAATTTCAGTAACTAAACAAATTCTTTCAAAGTTTTGTGTACGTGTTGATCTCTTGACCTTCTTGTGGTGCATGAGAAACCCAGTGTTGTTGATTTCCCCAATGCTGTGGTGGTAGTTGCTCAAAGTACTGTTGTTGTGGTCCAAAGGTAAAATGCTCCTGGGGTACAGTTTGCTGTGGTACATGTGAATGTGGTGGTTCCTTATTCTGACTTGCCAAAAGCTTCACAAGTTCCATCTCGCTTTGCCTGGATTTCTCAGCATCCTCTTTCATGAAATTCAGAAGCTCCTTGGTTGGATCATTCTCAGCCATTGTTTCCAAAATCTTCAATATTTTCCCTACTGGCTCCGACTCATTTTTCTTTTTCTTTTTTCTAATGGGGACAAACATATTTGATCTGACATCTTCCTCTGCTTTATCTTCACCATCTTCCAAGTCATCCACAGAACTAGCACCAGTGCTGGAGGATCTTGAACGTGAACTTGTGGGTCTCGTGGCTGTGCTGGTAGAAGGCTCAATCGCTTGTTCTGGCTGACAGGAATCTCTGCTTTTTACTAATGGAAACAAGAGACCAAACCACTTACCATATCCTTTATCTTCAACAAATCTCTTTATACCGGTGGCTGTTTGTATAGTCAAGGCAACTTTTTTGCACATACTTATACACCACTTGAACTTGGTTCGCATCTGCTTAACTGTGAAAGGGAACAGAGCATGTCTTTCTTTTATCTGTTCTAACACTTGACTATAAACTTCGCCATTGGTTGCCCTCTTGTTGTTTGTAAATATCAGCCTTCGCTTAAAGTTCTCACTGCTTGTAATAATGTCAACCATATCATCGACGTATTCTGATTTCCATAAAGATCTTCTTCCATTATTTTTCCTTTTACTTTTGGCATTTAGCCCATGTTCTTCATCAATATCTTCGTCATCCAGTTCGTAGTCTTCGCTGAGTGGTTTCGTTTGAAAAAAACAATCATTGCAATAAGAAACGCTGGCATTTGCCACCCAGCCTGCAATGTCCTCGTTTTTCTCTGCCACAGAACACATTGGACGATTGCAAACAAACATATCACAAGTTATGCACTTGTATTTTGTCACTGATCCACACTCTGAACAAGATTGCTCGCCCGCCATTTTTAAATTTGCTTTCGTGGGACACATGAAATAGAAAAGTTTGGAATTGTGGGATAGAAAATATAATTGTAATAATTATAGTAATTTATGCATTGTGTTTAACGCTACGGAAATTCGACGTCTAAATCAACGTCGCATTTCCGTCGAATTATGCGATGAAACCCGTCGCATAATTCGACGGTGTCGCATTTAATGTGTCGGCGTCGAAGAAGAGCAGTTTAGACGTCGACTTTCCGTCGCATTAAATTCGGAGCCTTAAATGCGACCAATTAAATCCGACGGAAATTCGACGTCTAAAACAGGCCTAAGAATATTTTCATTCGGTGAAAGATGGAATGTTCCATTCAACTCGGCTGTCGCCATACTATTAAGTAAAACAAAGCTCTCAAATATATTTTTTTATATTTATTTCATTGGGTCATAGTGATACATACGTTTACACACAAGCAATTGTGGATATGATATAGACGATACAAGCTGTCCATTAAAAAATAATTAAATCTCACTTGTATTATTATATAGTATTATTATAAAATTTATAAATGTGGTGAACACTACTAAACAGTGCTCATTGAAAGACATATATAATATATACACATATTGTCATTTGATCCTTGGTGTATGATTTTAATACCGTAGATTTTCAACAGACAGCTATACTTTGAAATATTATACCTCAAATTCAAATGCTCCAATGAAAAAACAGCATTTGTACCACGTGATAATGTGATTTTTTTACGGTATTTCACTCAAATTCATGATTTCGCAATCCAGCGTGGGATACTATAATATCCCACGGCAGATCCACCGTGGGATATTCATATTATAGTATCCCACGCGTGGACACCACACGCTCTAAAAAAATATGGCGTTCGCGAGCTGTTGTTTGTGATTTCGTATTTTTGTACAGAATATTTGACTTAGCAAAACATTTTCAAGACGTATGTTATATGTTACCTTTAATGATTCAAAGGATACATGCTCAAATATTTTAAAGAGGAAACGTTGAGAACTGAGGTATACATAAGAAATTAAAAATTGTATTGAGATATTGGCGTATTTTATAATATTCAGCAAGTTTTATTTAAGTTTATTCTGAACTTAGTGAGTACTTTAACTTTCGGTATAATATATCATTTATAGACACTCCGCTCGGGGGATTCGGCGTAATATTTCCCTCAGTGATGATATTTTCCTCGGGGCAAAGCGAATCCCCCTCGCTCCGGGTCTATAAATGATAAATATACCATGATAGTTGGGTTTCAGCAATGCCAAGAGCAAGGGTCAATCTCAGGTACATTAATGCCTGGGTCTCAGTTTGTGTATTTAGCAAAAACAGACAAAAAATCATAAAAAAAAAAATATGGCTTTGACTATTACCATTCAAGTTTTATATGATTTATCAAAGGAGAATCTAAAAGTTGACCTACTTTTCGTTGTCATGGCAATGATCACGTGATGTATATTTTGAAAAACAACACAAAAATGATACGTTTTATTCAGAGGCTCTGCAGCAGTTTATTCGTGACTGAGAGGACGGAGAATTGTGATAATCATTCACACATAATATCACTGTTTATTGAATGAATCTGGAAAGTTTACATTTAGGCTTCGTTTCATTATTTTATGCGGCTATATTACGATGGGCATCACACGAATGTTAATCGCATCATTAAATGTTATCTACAAATAAATGTGCGATTTCCAAATTAACGCAGGGAAATTTGTTCCCTTGTTAATGTTTTTAGCTAATAAAAATAGCAACTTTTCATCAAATTACCTTGTTGCAAGTCGAACTCATTTTTCGTGTGATCAATTTTCACGCGCCATAATGAAACAGGCTGCCGCTTATTATAAGGGATATTATATTTCCAATAACAACATTCATTGCACATTCAAGTCGATATCTTGAAGCATAGTTAATGCTTGAAGGGAAGTATGCCATGGTGGAAAAAACCGAGTGAACTACAGGGTGTCTATAAAAAAAACGCTACAGAAATTAAACAGGCTGTCATGCATCATAAACGTGGCTAAACAATTCAATTTTTGCATAGGACGAAAGAACAGTTATTTAGCTTTTCAATGATACTCTTTTCCCCGAGCCGGCCGCGCAAAGCGCCGTGCGAGGGTACTAATTCCCCCCGGCTATTTACACCCAGGGAAACGAAAGCATTAGCGAAGTCTAAAGTTCATCAATGAGCGCAGGCGTCGGTCACCAACGATGGGTGGTCATCCTCACTGATCTCAAAAATATGGCGGATTGTCATGAATAACGGACACTGATTGGTCCAATTTAAAGTTTGCATTATAACGACTGCATGACGACAGCGAAATAGCAAACATTTCTTCATTTGATGATTGATAAATTTCTTGCAAATATATTTCATTTTTGCTCGTATTTCTGCAAGATTTTGTAAATTTCAAGAAAGGGCGAAAGAATCAGCTAAAAGAAGGGAGCCGACGTTAATGAAGGTAAGTTTGTTTTAAATATTGATTTTATAATGGCTTTAAAACCCGACAGCCTTTGCGTATATGAAACAACTAAACAAGACAGCATATATAAATTTCAGTGTAACTTTAATATTGATTCCCTTTTTTATTATATTGAATTTTTTAAATAAAAAATAAAGCAAAGACCAAAGTTATTTGCAAGCGAGAATTTGAAATCATTTTATTGCAAACTCAAAGTTTATCAATAAAGCCATTTAATAGTTAAAGGCAGTTTAGTTTTATAAAAAACACTTAAACGTTTTGTGAATTGTTTGTGGTTGAATTTTACCTTAAATTGAAGCTTGTATTACGTATAATTACATACCTAACATATATATGTTGGGAAATTGATAATTTTGTAATTAAAAGTGATGTTTTTAGGCGATTCTCATTTGTAAGAATATTCTTAAAAAATTATCGTGTTACCATGACAACTACTCTAGATACTTCCTGTTCGGAAAATACAATGGTTTTGTCAGCAAGGCGAGGGTTTCTGCATGCATGTATTTTCTAGTTAAGTCATAACGATGAGAAATGGCCACCAGGGGCGTGGCAAACGATTCCAGATTGGGGAGGGGCGTCATACTATAATGACCAACTGTTTCAATGAAAATGACCAACTTTTTCGTCTTTGAGTTGTACAGTTTTACTTCCTTATTGGGGGTTAAACGACAGGCCGTAATCGGTAGGATATTGACGAACAACTGCATTGTACATCTAACGATGAAAGTTTAACTGTGTAAGCATCAAGAAATATACTCAGTATATTCATTTGAGCTGTAATTCTTTAATACTTTTTATATATCGTATACAAAGTGATCGTGGCTGCTTGTTAGATATGCAGTCCACAGTACACGCAGTTTACAGATTTCGAGTATGTACCTCTGCGCCAAATGCTAGAGTTGTAACAATTGTGTTGATTGTAAAATTATCTTATGGAATACAGATTTTTTACATTATTATATGGACAAGGGTATTTTATTGGCAACTATATAAAACACTCGTCGAGAATCCATATGTCACTACATCCAATACCCGAGTGGCGTATTTTACGTATGTCACGGTATATCGATAAATTCCCGCCTTTTGTTGCTTGTTTTTTTCAAAATGGGCCGCCTTTTTTGTTTTGTTTTTTTTCAAAATGGGCGACGAGTTTGTGGACTTGAGCGAAGACGACATTTATTATCATCAGTGTGGTTACTTTCATCGCAACGTTCCTGAAGGTATTCTTGGGCAGTCTCAGTTATCTTTTCAACTGCATCAGAAATATTTTTAGACGTAAATATTATCTCATTTAATATGGCATCGATGTCGATGTATCGGGAATCTCGTAATCGGGAGGAAAGTGTGGCAACCTTACTGGCAACAAATTCCAGATTTCCGGCAAGGCATAACAACGTTTCAGGTGAATGTTTCTTGGTAGTTTGAAATTGGCATTCTTCTGTCATGCTTTCGTCTGACATTATCGTATTCACATCAGTATTTATCATATCGTTTGTAACTTGCATATCTGTGGGCTATGATAAAATTTAAAACAATTGCAGAAATTAAACTAATTTAAGGTACTAATTTCTCAAATAATGAAAGAAGCAAGATTCCTAGAATTCAAAAGCAACCAATTGCGAACCATATAAAACAACAACAACAACAACAACAACAACATACTTCTTCAGGAAATCTATTACGTGTTCTATCGCCAGTTTCTATGTCTTCTTCACTTGAAAACTCATCACTCTGAACATAACCCAAAAATAATATTCAGAAAACAAAAAACTATCTTGAGAACATCATACACACTTACAACTAAAGAAAGACAATTTTTTCCTATTTCGCTGTTTACACTATACCTCCGCTATTGACTCTTTAATGCTTGATTCGGTTGATTTAATGATATCTATACCCGCATCTACTGGATCTATTTCGTTATTGGTACCTTCAACATCTTTCACAATATCCATTTGATTTGGATAAACCGATTCGTTTGTGTCCAATACTCCAGTTTCCTGTAGATAATTTTATTATTAAAATGTGCAGCAAACAGTAAAATTTATCATTTTAAACACCCATACAATATGCCCTGATAAGATCTCGTACAATCTATTTTTGGTGGTGATTGGCAGCTAATACATTATTTGACAGCTAAACGCTAAAATTACCTTACACGTCGTCGCTGTTTTTGGCTCAAAAAATCTTCGTACATCAGAAAACTTAGACGCATCAGAATTTTTATCCGACTGATTTTCCCCAATAACTTTTATCGGTACACTTTTTCCACCATGTCTGTTATGAATATGACTATTCCGGAAAAACTCCCAGTTCATCGACTTGTCACAAGGTATACACAGTACTTTATGTCTGCTTCTCCGTTTTTGTTTTTCTTTTCCCATCACTGCATCAGACTGACATAAACAACAACATACTCTTCAGTTTTTATATATTAAATATTCATGATGTATACGAAATACAAATTTCAAAATAAATATGTTTGCATTTATGTTTTGTATATGTTTGTATTATGTTTTTATTTTTACTTTATATTTCCCGATAGCATCTCAATAAATATTGAAAATTATGGAACTTACCCGTATGCATATTACAAAATCAATGCACTGAATCAATAATTCATGTAACAAATCATATAGAATTATCACAAAATTTGAGCCTTCAGCTCCAATGGTCAGTGGTCTGAAAATTGCTGTACTTCATTGCAGTATATACGTAATTGTAATCGGTGTTATCGATTTTTGTAAAGATTTGAAATTATATTACAGCTATCACCTGGCATTAGTATTTCCTCAATATATTTTGACTAAAAATATAATGTTTCCTTTAATATTTAAATAATTCCTTTGACCAAGAAACAATTTTGACCAACTTTTCAAAGTTTAGAATTATTGGGGGGGCGTCGCACCCCCCCCCCAAGCCCCCCCCAGTCGCCACGCCCCTGACATACTTGTCAAATAAAAATTGCCAGTCGAAATCACATTCTTCCACCGTTGGGAATTGCATCGAAAACAAAACATGAACAGTTCCCAAGAGGGAATTAAAATTGAATGTTCAATTATCTAAAATAAGCTCAACTCATCAATCTTCGTCTTAGTGAGACAATAACTCAATACGAATTTGGGACGAAACATGGTTCAATTAACCCCTGAACAGAGAACATTTGTTATCAAAACGTTTTATGAAACAAATAGCTTGCAGCAGGCTTGATTTGCTTTTGGATTGACTAACTTTGCATAATTAATGTATTTTCAATTCCCATCGGCGGAAGAATGTGATTTCGACTGGCAATTTTTATTTGATGAGTGTGTAGCCATTTCTCATCGTTACGATTTCAAAAAGGTGTCATAGAAAAGCTAAATAACGGCTCTTTCTTCCTATGTAAAAATTGAACTGTTTAGCTACGTTTATGATGCACAACAGCCTGTTGAATTTCGTAGCATTTTTTTGGACACCCTGTATATGTGCTATAATTAATTTGTAATTCACAAGCAATTTTTCATTGAAAATAAGAAACAATCCACAATTAATACTGAATAATCGCAAGATAGCACACTATAAGAAGCTTTTCTTTATCATCATTTCAAAGGTCGGCTGTTGCAAATGATACAATACTTATTGCTATACAAAGAGCCAATTATTACATCAAAACTGAATAGTATACAGACTTCTTCGCATTGCATATTCCAAAATAATCCTGTCGCTCATATATACTATATTTTGATTTCAACCGAATGCCTGAATTCACTAAAATACTCACACAAGGGGCGCATATTCTAACAGACGCATTACTGACAGATCGCGCATGCAACACGAGCGCAAGATATCATCAAAGCTTGAGCGGCAGACCCAGGCATTAACATGCCTGAGATTTTATAGTCTTTGACAGACTTTAAGTTTTTTAATAAGGCTTTTATATAAATCAACAATCTGGATACAGTTGGTGATATTTTGGAAATCAAAAGATCTCGCTATTTAGTTGCAATTCAACATCTCATCAATAAATAAATTTTTTTTGGTCATCAATAAATACATTTTTATACTATTAAAAATAAATAACAACCACATTGGTCAGATTGAGATATATATTTTCTTGTAGACTTATCAGTGCCGTGCCGCCAATGCGTGCTTTTCTTTGGCAAGTCTACATAAAGTTGAAAATTGAAATCTGATCCAACTTGCTTGTAACTCGACACTAGATTAGAGCAGAAAGTCACATCACAATATAACCATTAATTTAAGAGTTCTCTTCACGAGTTCTGGTTTCAAATTTAAATTTCATCACCCAAAGTTGCAATTTTTACAATGCGACAAACACGCTCCTCTCCTACCCATAGTCCTGAGCCAATGACGTGGCTATTTAAACCCGGGGAAAGGATTGCACTAGCGAAGTGTAAAGTTCATCAAATATCGCGGGCATATGGCTCACTGTTCATGGGTGGTAATTCTCACTGATCTCAAAATATGTAGTGGACTATCGTGAATAGTGAACACTGATTGGTCAAATTATATAAACGACTGCATGACGACAGCAAAATAACAAACATTTCTTGCAAGATTTTGTAAATTCCAAAACCTATCTGAGAGCCAAAAAAGTCTAAAAGAATGGAACAAAGTCACCGACATTAACCAAGATAAGTTTGTTTTTAATATTGATGTATTGTTTGTTTTATAATTGCTTTACTAAAAAACTGATATGATCGTTGTGTATATAAGTGATAAAAAGACAGCAAATAATTTCAGTGTATTATTAATTACCCTTTCTTTTGTATATTAAAATATTTAAATAAATATTTTAAATAAATACCATGACAACTACTTTCAATACTTCATGTTCAGAAAACATAATGGTTTTGTCAGTAAGGCGAGGGTTTCTGCATGCATGTATTTTCTAGTACAATTTTGATTTAGCGCCCAAAATGTGGGAGCCACATGACCAGCAGCTGCCAGGGTCTTTCCCAAAGAACATCCTGCATACGAGGTTGCATGGTTATGGCAGACAAAGACCACTTCAAATATTTCAAAGTTTATAATTTGTCATCTCATACTGTATTTGTAAGTATTTCAATGCACTGTGTACATGGATAGTTACTTACTAATAAGCTTTTGCAGAAGATTGCATGCCTTGTTGAAAGGACCAACTTTAGAATCAGGCAGACCTACAACTTGGTCCTAATTGGTGAATTGGAAACTATTGTCCATTGTAAACTAGGGATCCAAGGATAGTGTGAAGTTTCAAATTGAAAAAGACACTGCAAGAACTATGTAGGTTCGCTGACAACCTAGAAAAGCTGATGGCTTACACTACGAAATAAACAATTACCAAAGGCATTTCATCTCATTATCTATTGCTTTTAAAGTGCATATGACATGAAATTTATTATTTTCTTAAATGAAAGAACTCTTTAAGCTGTAGTGTAACTTATATTTCAGTTTCTTGTTTTCATGGTTTGTTCCCGAGATATTTCAATTTGTTTGACATGTAAATGAGTATGAATATGTCCGCTAATTTATGACGTCACGTTGGTTGCAAGCTCCTCAAAATGGTTGAATATCACTGCTATCATCCAAGATGATAACTTCAAACTTCTCTCACTGGTAAATGTGATGAAACACTGGAGAAAAATGTGAACTGATATTTTCAGTTTTTAGAGTTAATAGATTTATAGC